CAGACTTTAGGAACTATTTTCAGTCAGTAAGTCACATGTTCCTTATGCATCGAGTATTTTACTTTTGTATATTTTAATTTTAGATAAAACAATTTCCTATTTTTATTTAATATTAAATACAATAAAATTAATGATGCCTTTCGTTTAGATAAAGAAAAATTTAAAACTATTATAATCGCAATTAATTTTGATTCATCATATCAATAGCGAAGATATGTTTTAATTGGCATAATATATTTCCATAATTTTACTCTCGTTTTTAAAATTCTCATCTTATCAATTTTTTTAATTTATTTTTGTTCGATAAATTTAATTTATATTAAAATATTTGTATAATATAGGGAAACTAGCTAATTAATTTTAAATTTTGACAAAAAATTTATTACAAAATCAAGAAACTAGTATTTGTTATTACTTTAACATAGAAATAAACAAATTGTAAGTACGTATACATTATCTTTTAATACAAAAAACAATGAAAATATCTGCTGAAAGCATGCATATTTGTATATGTTTGGTTTAAAGTTGAATAAAAGTAATTTAAACCATTTATTTTCATCAAAATGTATAGTTATCTAAAAAAGCACAAAAACAAATTTTATAACTTAAAAAAAAATAAAGCCCTCATCTAATTTGGTGTGGTATTTGGTTGGGATAACAAATAAGCGTCCTCTACAAAGATATAATCTCCCAAAATATCTCAATAATTCTTATGTTTAAAGAATTGAAACGTGCATGGGCACGCCTAGCAGAGAAATTGAGAGGCAAAAAAGGCTTCGAATCATGCTACAAACTTAAGAGGCGTCGAAGAAGTAGAAATGAATGGGCACGATACCCTACAGAGAATATGTTTCTTCTGAAAAAGGCAGTGAGGAACTCAATGCTGAAGAATGGAGGGGAAGAAGCCCAGTTTGCAAAAGACAATATGGTCATAAGGCGCATACCCTCGTCCCCATGTCAACGTAATCGTCGACGTCGTTATTCGTTTCGAATCAGACCCTCTTCACTCTCTGTGATGACTATTGCCCGTCACTTGTGATTTTACATTTACTTGCTTTAATTTTATTTTATTTTATTTTAGTTATCTTCAAGGATTAATTGTATTTTGTGTTTGATAGAATGTGCAAAGGAATGAGAGTATGTGGTCAACGATGGTGGCACTCGAATGAGATTATTTACTGTTATTCCTACATCAATGTTTCCTTAGATTATTCATGTTATTTCATATATACTTTCATTTTTATTTTTTAACCTTTATATTTTATATAAAATTATTATCAAAATTTGTTGTAAAAATAATATTACTCTTATAATTTATACGCGGAATAAGTTTCATTAACACAAAAACAAAATATTATTCTAATGACATAATTTAATATCATTCTTTTTAGTTTTTAATAAAATTTTGTTAAAAGTTAGAATTTTTTACATTAAAATTTTAAAATATAAAAAAAATAAAGATACCATATTATCATTAACATCAAACTCGTGTTATAGTATATAAATCAAAGTAGGTGATATATATATATATATATATATAGTAATTGATAAAATATATGAAAAGAAAAATAATTTTTAAGAAAACTGTTTAAAGAAATTTAATTATTTGGTTTAAATTTTGTCACTGGTATGTATATATGCTTCTATTTTTTGTAATTTAAAAATTATAATTTGTAATTATCACATTCTTGTACATTAATAAATGTTAATATATATATATATATATATATATATATATATTTATTGTTTGTGTTGGTGTAAATTTATTTATAAATTGTAATGATATGATACATATTTATTTTTAATCATTTTGAATTCTTATACATCTTATAAACTGAGTAATAAGAATAAAAATTTTAAGTTTTAACAAATGTTATATTATGAAAATAGTAAATTTATCTCCTTCTCACTTTTCAATGTAAATTATTTCATAAAATTGTATAAATAAAATAAAAATGTTACGTGCATACGGGCCAAGTCGTTGTTGGAAACTAACTGTATTACAAAGACAACTTGCTTTTCATTAATTTCAAAAGTTTATGTTCTTTTTATCTTCTAAACAAAATTCAGGATATAACATAAGACATGCAAATTAGAGTTCGATCTATGATTGTGCATATAAAAAAAGTTACCAATAGAGGTAAAATTTATTTCAATTATCTTTATAACTTGAAAGAATTAATTTCTGACTGTAGTTGAAGAATATCCAAGACAATTCTAGACTTTTTCTCCTTTTTCTGCACTAATAATATTATCTTTTAATCGATTATTTGAGGACTAATCTCTTAAGAAATTAAAGATCACTGAAAAATACTTTTCCAAATTTTATTTCATTTTTATATGTCTATATTTACTATTATTTAATTTTCTAAAAATAATCTTGCTTCCTTTGTTGAATGGGTTTCGCTTATTATCAACCCTACTCTTTTAAAATATTTTACCATTAATATCATTCTTAATTAATTTAATGTTTTTTTAATTTGTTCCTTAATATTTTGTGTAATTACCTATTTTTCTTATTTCTAAGTCACTTATTAAATATAATTGTTTCACTAAAGATTTTCATAATTTGAGAAAATAAAGCTTTAATTTTAATTTTTATTTTTATTTGATATAATTATAGAAATATAATTATTTTTATTTGTATTTTTAGTTTTATTTTTTAGGTTAAGGAACTTTCATTGATTACTAATAACCTAAAAGCTTGACTTTTAAAGATAAATAAAGAAACATTGAAAAGCTTGAATAGAAAATGATTGAACAAATAGAGGTTATAAAAAAGAAAAGACTGCGATCGATCTCAATAAAATTATACTTATAACAGAAGCTTAATCTTGAAGACTCATTTAGTAGCAGTCACGATCAAATAAAATAAAATAAGGATGAATAAGATTAAAATAAAAAGATGAATTATCCTATTTATAATTGTGAGAGAAATAACAATTATAATAAATAAATAACATCAATGATTCAATAACTTGTTATTTTTATCCCAATGACCAATTGGACCTTTCGATTCTTTACTGTGGAAACAGAATAGAGCTTTATCTAAGCACCATTCTTAATCTCAAATATTTCATAGTTATGGTTGGGAGGAGAAATCAATTGAATAGGCTGAAAGTAGTGATAATAACTACTCCCAGGTTATGCTTCAAAACTGTCTCCCCTCAAACGTTAATTGTATCATTGACATTAGGCTCTGGTAAATAAAGTTAACCAAACCTTCGTTACGTAATGGAGAATAATTTCACATTATTTTATAGAACAGTTCATAACAAAATTTACTATCCAAAATAGATGTATGTAATTAAAGAAAAGTTCAATATTATTTAATAAACAATTTTTATAACTATTTTTTAAACTATGAATAATGATTTAAAATTAAAATTTTTTTTCATGAATTTTCTATTTATATATTTTAAATTTTAAATTTTTTTGTAAGTTTTTTTTATCACAAATTAAAATTAATTTTTTATTTCATTAAAACTTGAGTTTGTATATTATGTTAACTAAATAGTCCACGTCTTGATAAATGAAATATTATTAAACCTAAAAATAATAATAATAATAAAATGTTTTACTGTTAATAAAGATAATATATATATATATAAAAAAACTAACTTTATTAGTATAAAAAAAATAAAAAGTAATGATTTATGAATAACACTATTTTTACATAAGCTTATAAATTATAAATTATTAAAAATTTTAAAAATTTTAATTTATTCTCTTCAAAAATGATTTTAGAAATTTAATATATTATTACTCTCTAAAATTAATTTTATAGAGCGGTTATGTCATTTTTAAATAATAATTTTATCTTTAATAAGGAATTATATTATTTTGTTCGATAAATATCAACTTTTAAAAATATAAAATGGATTAGTGCAGTCTATTTATCGCGAGACAAACATCTTTTTCATTCAAAGGATTCAACTTTGAGAGGTCATTTTAAAGTAAACCAAAGCGTGACAAAGTGTGTGCTTCTGGTTTTGAAATAGCCGACCAAAACCTCACTTCACTCTTTATTAAAAGATGAGATATGAAGAATGTATTATGACACTTGCTCTCTTTGGGTCCTTTTACAGCTGTCTTTAGTCAATATAACCCAAAACTTTTTGTTTTCTTCCTCGCATTTTCACATCAGGTGTCCACACATGTTCAATTATGCACTTACCCGCCTCTTGTCCCTCGCAATGTCTCCTTATGCTTGTGTAACATTGCAACACTAATGTATTCAAGTGCAGAAAGTTATTGCATTGCATATACACAATTGTTGATGCGACAGCTCTGCACACATCTACTTGTTACCTACCTTACTCCCACTAAGCAATACCGCTCCCCAAGTTACCACTAATGCATATAAAAATGAAAAATATTTGACTTTTGGGACAATGCCATATGAAATCAAAGCTGGTTTAAGGAAATACCATACTCTTAGGTCTCTGTTTCAACTGGCAGATTGTAGTTGTTATCCATTGTAGACCACATCCCTTTATTTTATATGTATATATCTAGGTAAGGTACATATTTGTGGCTTTAAGTATAATATTGAGACAATTTTATAATACACATCAAATATCCAACACAAAGATGGCACCAATTTGTTGTCAATTTTAAACGATCTATGCTTCATTGCCTTGAATTCTCCTTCAGCGAATTGACAATCCTATTATTACAGCCAGTTACATTACAGTAGGGGGAGGATAATTTTGTCATTTTATAATTTTGGAAAATATCATGCATATGATGAACATATGCCAGCTGGAAGAGTTGGAGAAAGAAGGGCCCATGAGGCTGAGAGAGAAATTGCTCATTATTATTTAATCACTGGTTTTCCTGATGAAAACAAAGTGGGTCTGTTTCTTTCCTGTGGAAAGCTTGTTCTTGAAGGCCCACATGATGAACAGAGAAAGCTCATCATGCATGGGAACGATGTAAAATGGGAAATGATTGCAATTGCACCCATTTATAAATCATATCCACTTCACCAAAACTTTAAGGCTCGTGATTTTAACCCTTTAGGGAAAAAAAGTTAAAGCCTTGATATCTGTGCTCATTGTGAAATCTATCCAAAGTTCCACATTCTTTGGCATCTGATACTATAATAAAGAATGTTGCTGATTTCAAAAATATCTCCATATGATTTTAATCACAGGAAATGCGCTTTTTTCCAAGCTTCTAGTTCTCTTAAACGGTGATTCTTGTCCTTTTTTAAAGAGTCTAGGAGATATCATCAAATGGGTAAGTAATCTTCTGGGATTTTGGATCACACTCAATCTGCATCACATTCATCTTTTTCTTTTATTAACTATCTTGAATTATGTGCATTAATGTTAAAATTACTCTCAAAGCAAAGTTTTCATTAGTGTGCATGTTTTGGCCTTTGCAACTACAACCTGTAACCTGTATAAAAGTTAATTCTATGACAAGTTATGCAAATTGCTCCTTTTTCGGACAAGTCTAATGTTTAGGTTTCAGCAAATCCATTACATAAATCGGTTAGCCTATTTGCAAACCAAGTGTATATTTCACCCATCTACTTGTTTCAAACTGACTGAGATCATTAGATAATAAAAAACGAAGATATTTTCTTCATAAGAGAGGATTATTTTGATCTTTTTTTTTTCAGATCACAGAAACTTAAGCTGGTCCATTTGATTTTGTTAAATGGGCATGAAGGGCTGGTTTAGTATTCTGAAGAGGCTCTTCATATGGGACACAAATTCCACATCAGAGAAGGTAAATGCTATGCTTCTTTGAGTAATTATCTTAAGTAAGATATTGATTCTTATAACACAACAACTTGTTTTCAGGAGAAAAGAAGGAATTGGATGTTTGAGAGGGTTAAGAATAAGAGATTGCCATCAATTAAAGCCCCACCACCATCAAAGGAAACAATAGTAAGTGAAGCCGAGGAAGAACATAGCAAACATGCTTTAACAGTTGCTATTGCCTCAGCTGCTGCTGCAGAAGCTGCTATTACAGCAGCTCAGGTTGCTGTTCAGGTTGTTAGGCTCCAATCAGCTCACCAACATAATAAAGAAAATCAAGAAGAATTTAAACCTCTTAAAACTACGCATGATACTCCTCATTGCAAACAGCAATGGCAGAGGAAGATTGAAGATTCTTCAGCCATCAAAATTCAAACTGCATTTCGAGGTTACCTAGTGAGTTTGTCCAATATCTTTCATCTTTCATTTATGTCAACCATAAATCCTACCAAGTTCACTTTTTGTTCTTCCAAGTGATCACTGATAGGTTCAGTTAAATTTGGGTAACAAAATATAATTAACCATACGTAAACTGAAGCTGAGCTAAGTAATTCAGAAGCTGAAGTTCATTTGAGAATAAGAAAATACAATTTTACTGAAATTCTTCGCCTAATTAGTGATTTCCCAAAAACAAGAATAAGTTGACTTGGACATAAATTTCATGGAACATATTAACCAATTAGTTTACGGTGATTCCCCAAAGTGAGCCAGTAAAGTAGCGTTCGAACATAAATTAGATTTTAATTTTGGTTTTGTTAACTAATATCATTAAGGAATTAGTAACTGTTTATTTTTTAAATTTAAAATCACTGACCTTAAAAATCACAAGGAGAGTGTATTATCACAATTTCTAATAATAAAAAAAATTCCTTTGATTCTTTAGTTAACGTCTTAAGGGTGCTCATAAGCATTTGCCTTTAATTTTTTATATTGCATATTGAACATTTTTTTTTTATAATTAAGTATACACAACTTAAAGGTGAACTAATTTTCAGAACTGAAACCCTTCATAAAATAAGAAATCATTTATTTACTAAAATTCTTTAAGTTATTGATTTCCCAAAATCTAGTATAAGGTAGCTTAGAACAGAAACTAGATTTTTATGTGACATAGTTCACAAACTTAACTCCAGAGAGGAACACGAATGAGATAAATTTGGAGAAAAGAAAAAGAAGTTAATAGGTGAAATTAATAAACTGAAGTTGCCTTACAAGATTCTTACACATGATTCAATCACTGAGCACTAAGATATTCCAGGCAAGGAAAGCTTTGAGGGCATTGAAGGGAATAGTGAAGCTTCAAGCTATCATTCGTGGCAGAGCTGTGAGACGCCAAGCTATGAGTACCCTGAAGTGCTTGCAATCCATTGTAAGCATTCAGTCACAAATGTTTGCAAGGAGGCTACAAATGGTTGAAGGAAGGTGGGATTTTGGTGAGCATGAGGAGATGCAAGGTTCAAGAGACAAGATAATAAGGGTGGGAAAAACTTGTTACGTTTGATCATTAATTTAGTTTTCAGTCATCACATTACATAACCAAAGTTTCACTGCCAAAACTATGATCTACTTTTATGTATGACAAGTTATCAACTATGGTTTACTTACCTGTTTTACCTGGTACCGTTTGAATTTGAAACAAAGTTTTGATATTTTCAGATGGACTCAAACAGTCAGAGAAGATGGGATGACAGCCTTTTGTTGAAGGAAGAAGTAGATGCCTCATGCATAAGCAAGAAAGAAGCAGCACTTAAGAGAGAAAGAATAAAAGATTACTCATTTAATCACAGAGTAAGCTCTTAAATCATGTTTTGTTTTGGTTTTTTTTATACATTTAGATATCTCTAATTTTTATAAATAATTAAGAAATATGACTTCTTTATATTTTATTTTTCAATTTGTAATAAATTTTCAAAGATGAAACTGTCACTGAGAAAGTCTCTAAAGATTTGTACGATCCATTTATTCCATTAAAAATTTAAATTATTACTGCATTGCTCATCAAAAGATTTTCTTAACAAGAGAAAAATAAAAGTGTCAGCAGACTAGTCTTTTAAAAATTTAATTTGTCATCACATTAGTCTTCTAATGATTTAAAATGTTACTATATTGATCCTTAAAAATGGTTAAAGTGGAAAAAAATACATTTGTAAGAGTTTAACTTCGTAATAAATTAGAATTTTACCAAATTAATTCTTGTGAAAGGCTAAAGTGGTGGCTGAAAATTTAATTTATTGACCAAAATTTTGAAGGACATATTTGGTAACACCTTCATCTTTTAAGTAGTAAAATTTTCAATAACAAATATTTTAAAAAAAAACTATACAGTATGCGATCTCATTCTAACATACAAAACATTCCAGAGATCAGCTGAATCAGAAAGAAATAAAATAAATGGAAGATGGAGGTACTGGATGGAGCAGTGGGTAGACACCCATCTTTGTAAGAGTAAAGAACTTGAAGATTTAGACTCGGTTTTCAGCTCACATTATTCTAGAGATGGGGATGAATGTGGAAGAAGACAACTCAAACTTAGAAATATTCAGAGACAAAATCATGTTGAAGGGTTAGATTCTCCAATATTTACTTCAAGGAACTCTTTCCTTAAAGGGAGCCAAAACTCAGAGGGAGGAGAAGATCACTTATTACCAAGCTCTCCATCAATTCCCACATACATGGCTGCAACGAAATCAACACTTGCAAAAGCAAGATCAGCAAGCTCCCCAAAAGCAAGGACAGGAGGGAATTTTGACATGAACTCTGATAGTTATTCACCATGCAAGAAAAAGCTATCTACTATGGCTTCTGTTAACAGTGAAGTGCTTAGTAATGGTAGGATGGGAAAGCTCAGCTGTAATCAGCAAAGATCTCCTAGCTTGAAGGGCATTTCAAGACCCTTAAAATCAAGCCACACAGTGAGGGATCTCAGCATTAATTCAGATTGCTCAGTGCAAAATTGAGATCAGCAAAGTTCCTCTAAATCAAAGTTATAGATACTAGTGCTGCTTGTATTAGAATTATTCCTTGTACCACGAAGGAGCTCAAGTGATAACATTGTTTGTCATGTATACCTGAGTAAAATTCAATTCCATTTTGTAGAGAATTGGACTTCAATGTGTTAGAAAGATTTTTGTTTCTTCACCATTTAGTTGATGGCTTGTGAGCTCTAAACCTTAAGGGACGCATTTTATGTTAAAAATAAAAATAAAATAAAATGGTGCATAAGTCAAAGAGATGAAAAGATGTGAGTAGCACTTCAATTTCTTAGTTAAGGAAAATGATTTTTTTTAATTTGTAATTACTTGATATTTAATGATATAATGGGGTAAATTATTCAATGTAAGTTAAAGGTATCACTATTATAAATAGTGAATTATACTCATGTATTTTGGATTAATAAAAATTCTTCTATTATTTTAATTATTCTCTTCCTATCTCTATAAAGCAGTATTAGATCTTAAATTTGATTTTTAGAGTCGAGAGAAACACCTTGAGAGTTGAGTAAAATACTTTGAAAGTTCAAAGATGGAAAATAATAGCTTAAATATGTTTCAATTTTCTGGTCTTACTAGAGAAAATTATATTAATTGTTGTCGATGCATGAAGGTCTTACTAAGATCTCAAGATATTTGGAAGATTGTAGAGAAAGGTTATGATAAGCCTCAAGATGAGACTATTTTGTCATAAAATGAGAAATAGACTTTAACCAACCAAAAGAAAAAAGATCAACATGCACTTACTTTTATCCATCGAGACGTAGATGAAGATATGTTTGAGGCAGTGTCTAATATAAACAACTTTTAAAGAAGTTTGAGAGATTTTAAATACTAACCTTGAGGGGTTGACAAGGTGAAAAAAATGCATTTACAAACTATACAAGTAGAGTTTGAATTTTTGTGCATGAAAAAGTTCAAGTCTGTTTTAAATTTTGCAATGATGAAAAAATCCTTTGTTCCTAAATCACAAAGTTTGACTATGTGATTTGTGCTATTGAAGAGTCAAAAACCCATGAAGAAAAATTTAATTGAAGACAAGAAGACTCTTTAGCACAAGTCTTTAAAACTAAAGTCTCTTTAAAAGAAAATACAAGAGAAAAAAAAAACAGAAAAGATGAGCTTGTTGTCAAGAAAGAGAAAGAAGAGGAGATCATGATAATTTTGACAATAAGAGAAATAATTATCAATCCACTACAAATTGTAGAAGAGGAAGAGGTAAAGGTGATTTTAGTAGGATAAATGAAAAGAGAAATGATAAATTTGATGTTAAATGTTGCACTTGTCTAAGTTATTTTTATGTTAATAATTGACTAGTTTCTGGATAATTTCATAATATTTTGCTAACTTCCTATTTTTAACCATTAACATTTAAATCTAATTCATATGTATCTTGTTTTAAGTTAATAAAAATTGAATTTAATCATTCTCAAGAATGTATTACATTGTTAGTTTCTACTTTAATCTCATCTCACAATTTCATTTTAAGTAGGTCTAATTTTGAGTCTTTTTATTACTTGTATATCAAATCTTAACTCGTGTATTTTCTAATTTCTATTCCATTTAGAAATTTATCTAAATATAATTAAAATAATAAAATTATCACTTAAATAAGAATAATAAAAAATAAGGATGTTACAATTCACTACTAAAATAAATTTCTTTCTCAATATTTGTTATTAACCTCTTTTATATAATGAGGATATCTATCTTGCATCTCCAAGTTCTCTAGATATCTCCTGCATTACTTTCATTCCAACGAACTTTAACAAAGAGGTATTAATTTATTACAAAGTTGCTTAACCCTTTGTTCTTCAATTTTTATAGGCTGTACATCATAAGTTAAATTTTCTTGTACTTGTACTGTATCTGATTCTATTATGTGTGACAAGTTGGAAGCATATTTCTTTAATTGTGAGATATGGAATACATCATGAAAGATTGAAAAAAAAGGCACTAAGGCTATCTAATAAGCTACACTTCTTATTATATGAAAAATTTGATTAGGCCCTATAAATCTAGGAGTAAGCTTCTTTGATTTCATGGCTCTACCAATCCTAGTCATCGGTATGATGTTCATAATACATGATCTCCTTCCTTGAATTGAAGAAATCTTCGTCTCTACTTTGCATAACTCTTTTGTCTACTTTGGGTTGCCTTCATCTTTTCTTATATCATCTTAATTTGTTTATTGGTTTGTCTTACCATTTCAGGTCCTAAAAGTAAATTCTCACAAGTTTTCAACCAATACAAGGGAGTCCTACATTTTGTCAGATCTGTATATTCATGTACATATTGTATATGCTTGAGTTGTATGAATTTTTCATCAATTGGAATATATATATATATATATATATATATATATATATATATGATATGTATAATTGTTGAATAAGAGTTGTTCGCTTGTAGTGTTGGGTGGTTGTTGTGTTTGATATAATTAGTAGTAGGGATTTGTGTGTGGAAACATAGGGATATAGTTGAGGATTTGTAAGACCTTCATTCTTGAAAATATATGGAATACATCATGAAATATAGGGATATAGACGATGTCGAGTCGTTATCAAAATAACTAAGTTCTCTCAAGATTTTGTAGTATAGAGCTAAACCTAAATCAATTCACAGAGACACATTTTCAGTTAAATTCAATTTTAGATTTTCTTTTAAGGAATGTGAGTAAATTTTTGGGAGTTTGAAATCTACAAATTAATTAAATTAAACTACAAACAGAATAAAATTGAGTAAAAACAAATGAAGAAATATTAATCTACAGAAAACCAAATGCGTATAACTCTGATTATCACCAGTATCTAAATATTTTAATCCGAGTTTGAACGTTTATCTAATTTAATTATTAATTCAATTAAATAACCTAATTGAACTATATCATGAATTAAATCAAATTAGAATATTAATCAAATCCTAATTTGAATTCTAACAACAAAAAAGTTAAGCACAATCCTAATACACAAATCTGAGGTTATAGAAAAAGAGAATAAACTCGGAGCAATTTGACCCAGAACTCAAATTCGAATTATAGCGTTTGGATTTTGTGGATTGAACAGGAGATTTATCCTTCCATCGAAGCACTTAACCCACGCGAAAATGAGAAGAGAACGAGAGAATTCGAGAGAAAGTAAAAACAAAGATTCTTATTTCAGCCAAATCTCAAAAGCTTAAAGTGTCTAATCTCCCCTAATTTAGAACCTTAGTAGTTTATTTATAGGTTCTAATTAGGATAACTAAATGGCCAAAATTCAGGCCTTAATTATAACTATAAGCCCAAATACAATTATTTATGAACAAAGGGCCCAAATGCAACCTCGCAACAATATTCAGCAAATCTGCCTCAACTTTAAAAAATTACAAAAACCCGAAAAAAACTCCAAATCAAACAATCTATATATGCATTTTGAAGCCCTGGATGTGTAGAATCCAATGCTGATGGAATTAGCCAAAAATAATATATGTAGAAAAAGTTATAGCGTCAGAATCTTAAAAATATGAAATTAAAGCATTTATTTGTAACAAGCCCAATTTATTCAAGTAAGTAGAAAATGGTAAAAACCCTAAAAACCAAGCATAGTAAAAGTATATGTAAATCAAAATAAAACTATAAATGTAATCCTAAAACATGTTACATTAGGTTTCTAACTGAATCCAAGTGTGCCTCACTTAAGTGAGATTGGTTCGTGCTGATTTGAGCATTTTGGAGTGATCTCACTCAAGCGAGATGAGATAAGACTGCCCTAACTATCCTCTCGTCCAGGCGAGAAGGGATCTCGCTTAGGCGAGGAGTCACAAGAAAATGAGGAGCTCTCTGGACCCATTCTCGCTAAGGTGAGAATGTAGCTCACTCAGGCAAGATACCTGATGTAAAATATTTTATGTTTACAATTAATATTTTATTTTGATTAATAAACACTTTTCACATGCTTTATTTTATAATTTTTACCATTTTCTACTTATTTGAATAAATTGGGCCTATTACAAATAAATGTTTTACTTTCGTATTTTCGGTTATTCTAACATCTAACTACTCTTTTGGCCATAACTTTTTCTACAAATATCATTATTCGCTGATTCCAGTTGCATTGGATTCTGCACATCTATGGCTTCAAAATGCATATATGGGTCGCTAGATTCGGAGTTTTTTCAATTTTTTATGATTTTTTGAAGTTGAGGCAGATTTGCTGAATATTATTGCAGGATTGCATTTAGACCTTTGTTATTTAATAATTGTATTTAGGCTTTTAGATATTATTGAGGCCCGCCTTTTGACCACTTAATTTACCCGAATCAAAACCTATAAATAGACTAATAAGGTTCTAAATTAGGGGGTGATTAGACACTTTGAGCTTTTGGAGACTTGGCTGAAATAAGAATCTTTGTTTTTACTTTTTCTTGAATTCTCTCGTTCTTTTCTCATTCTTGCATGGGTTAAGCGTTTTGATGAAAGGCTAAACCTCTCGTCCAATTCGCGAAATTCAAACGCTGTAGTTCTGACTTAAGTTCTGTACTAATTGCTCTGAGTTTGTTCTCTTTTTCTCTCTAATCTCAGAATTATTTATTGTCATTATGATTGACTTTTCTGTTGTTAGATTTTAAATTAGGACTAAATTGGTGCTCTAATTTGATAATTAATGTAAATTAGGTTAAATGATTATTTGATTTAATTCGTAACTCTGTTCAACTAGGTTATTTGATTGAATTAATAATTGAATTGGGTGATTGTTCAACTATGAATTTAAATCTTTAGATACTGTGATAGTTGGAATTACACGTAATTGGTATTTTGTGGATTGATGTTTCTTAATTCCTTTTTTTCTCACTTTAATTATGTTCGTAATTTGATTTGATTAATTACAAATTTAAAACCCCAAAAACCTTATTTGTATTTTTTAAAAGAAAACGTAAAATTGAATTTGACTGAAAATGTGTCTCCGTGAATCAACCTAAGTTTGACT